GATTATCAGTGGTCTTGTATGTCTTCCATTTTCTAATAATTGCTCCCACAGTTGATTTCTTCACACCAAGCTGCTTACCTATTGCAGATTCAGTCTTCCCAGCCTGGTGCAGGTCTACAATTTAGTTTCTGGTGTCCTTTGACAGCTCTTTGGTCTTGGCCATAGTGGAGTTTGGAGTGTGACTGTTTGAGGTTGTGGACAGGTGTCTTTTATACTGATAACGAGTTCAAACAGGTGCCATTAATACAGTTAACAAGTGGAGGACAGAGGAGGCTCTTAAAGAAGAAGTTACAGGTCTGTGAGAGTCAGAAATCTTGTTTGTTTGTAGGTGACCAAATACTTATATTCCACCATAATTTGCAAATAAATTCTTTAAAAATCAGACTGTGATTTTCTGGATTTTTTTTTCTCATAGTTGAGGTATACCTAGGATGAAAATTACAGACCTCATCTTTTTAAGTGGGAGAACTTGCACAATTGGTGGCTGACTAAATACTTTTTTGCCCCACTGTAAGTGCTCGAGTTGACTGCCTGAACTAGCTCGCAGGCTTCGCCCCATTAAGTGCAGCTTCGGCTTCCACATACTGCCTCCTCCTTCTCTGCAATTCAGGTGCGTAATCATGGTCCACGTTGACCTTTTTCTGCCAGGCTTTTTTTGATTAAGTCTTCTTTCATTTTAAAACTTGAACATTTCACCACCAGTGATCAACATTTTTTAACTAAGTATAACTAGATTTAACTTCGGATCATTCTTGGTTAATAGCACATCCAAAAAAATAAATATATTTTTATAAATTGAACCATGCCCGATTTGCTTCCAAAGGCCTTTTCTTTTAATATATTAATACATGCTTTGTGGTACCTTGTCTGATAATCAACCAGTTGTGGAATTGCTTAGTGCATTTACTAAAGGCCTGTTCTTGCATGCTGGCTTATTTTTAAGTGTATGTACTGAAAGAACTTTGTTGTGGAAAAGGACTGCTGTAAAAACATCTAGAATTCCTTCAAGTCCTATATTAGCTTTTTGTTGTTTTAATCTGTGATTGTAGTAAAGCAATTTCTAACAAACATTTAGTTTATTGTATATGATGGAAAACATTTCCAAATATTTTAAATAAAAGTTAATATTTTCCATCCAACTTTTACATTTCCTCATAATTGGCAAGGCATAGTTAGATCCAAGGTTTATATCCCACATGTTCTTCTCTTCATATTCACACGCATGCCATTTTAAAAAACATATTTAAAAAGAGTAGTCAGAATAGACAAAATATTTATTGGGCATGTAGCCTGGTTTACAAGCAAAATCAAGTTTGAAACAAGTTACAAACCATTCATATATACATTCTTTACAGCTACAGTAGCCTGTTCACAGTTTCTCCCACCTCAACCCCTTTTCTCATAAAAAAAAACATTGGATGAAGAATGTATGTGTACTTTTATATAGATGTGCGTTTGCAGACTGAACAGTAGAGAATATGACTTGTAAACTGGAAATTAATAAATTGAATATAAACACCAACACAGATATACAAACACACCTGTGTTTTTCAAGTAATCCACAATATCCACATTGTACTGCAGGCCTACAGTCAAGGCAGGGTTCTGCCATTAGAAACAACAATAAAAAAGGGTTTGATTGGGGAGCGACCCTGTGGAAATAAGCCAAGGCCAATTATAAAAGACCTCAGAAAAGTACAACTGGGTCAGGGGTTTCAGTGGTCTTCATTTTCTAGAACTAGATGTGCTGAAAGCAACTGCCAGAGCACATAACCAAACACCATCTTCTAATGCCAGTCCTCTCAGTCCATGGGCTCTGCGGCTCTGAAGAGCCCTGTTCCTCTCCCTCCGCGTCCATCCTTCTTCCCTTTCCTTTGGGGACCTTGGGCAGAGGGAGAGGAGGCGGCGGAGGAGGAGGGATCCTGCAGTGTTTGCCGCGAGAGAAGTTCCATGAAGACAGTGTCCATCTGGCGACAGACCTCCTTAAAAGATTAAATAAACAACGGTGAGGAGAGAATAAAAGATAAAAACCTCTTTGTTCTTAGCTCTCCCTTCTGCTCAAAGGCTTCTGATTTAGTTTGTCATTAGTAATTCTGTGCTGCTTTCCAATAAGACACTTTAAAAATAATTTGAATTTAAAAGTAATACCTTTAAATATGAACAAACCATGGTATGGGCCGTTAATAAACAACTTTTGTGTTGTGAACAATCTTTTGATGGCTTTATTAATGCTCAGATATAAAACTTTGTTTGTCTTTTAGCTCTTTAGATCAGGAAAGTTCTCCATAAAGCATGGTTAAACTACTTACCTTCTAGAAAAGTGCTGCTAAACACCAAAATCCATTTATAAGCAACTTAATTATAACACTTATAACTGCCAATTTACCTGATTTGATGACTTACAAAGGCCTATAGTTGCAGATGACTTGCTAAGAAATGATAAACCAATAGTCTTATATTGGTGTATAAGCAATGGTAAATCCTGCATTAACTCTTGATAATTAGTTATACCTAATAAAATGATATAAAGCCAACCTCATCACATTGTGGAAGTCATTTAGAAATAGGACTGACCTTGTCTACTTTAATGACAATATCCTCAGAAGACGAGTGTTCCTGTAATCTGTATGCAGAAAGAGATCAGAAAACACTGAATATACATTTCTCCAACAAATAACAATTCAATTGTAATCCCTGTAGGTACTCACACTCTTCGCACATAGCCAGGAGATTGGCCTCGCCGTTGCTTGCTCTGTGGCCCAATGGGAATCTGGAGCATTACCTTTCCACCTGAAGTGATGCCGCCTCCAGTTGTCACCTTACTTTTGTCGATTGACCCGCTGCTGTTAGCTCGAGGACGTTCTGCTTTTCTATGTGTTGCTGCAGATGAACCTGGGCTGTTGTCAGCCAAGGATCCTGCTTCAAACTCTGCAGTACACCACATTGACACATTCAATTCCTTAGGGAATTGATTAAGATATACACTTGAAAAATATATCCAAGATATCACCAATAACGGAATGGTACATTTTATAGCTATGCATCCTGACGGTTAAAAATACCATACAAATTATAATACTGTCATCCTCTACATTGCCACTGTATTTTATCATTATTTGTCTGCTTTTAATGTTTTTCTTTTCTTTATTTATTTTCATGTCTCGCACATTTGGTTTATTGTACATTTTTTAAATGTTGAGTTTGTTTGTCGTTGTATTTGTTTTTGTATGTCTTAAATCGTTTTCTGTTTAAATTATTTAAATTGTTACTAAACATTTTTAGATTGGTTTTTCCCTATATGGGCATGTGCGGGTAGAGGAGGGAATATATAGAGAGTGTATCGTGACACTAACATTTACATCAAATTGTGCCTTTTAAAAATTATACAATACTATGAAATGAAAAGACTCATACAAAAAAAGAAAATATATACACATGAAACGTACCATCTTTGCTATGGGTGTACTCTGCTTCGACATCTCCTTCTTCAATGATTGGCTCACTGCAGAAAAAACACCCTCAGATCATCATTCCACCACACATTGTAGACATGTCATGCGTCTGAATATTTCATCACTTACCAGTCATCCAGTTCAAGCGTCATGCATTTCTCGTACATCGGTCCTTCAACTTCGCTCTGGTTGGGGAAGATGCTTTCGTGCTGGAGGATGATGTCCTTCACCACAGCGTTGATCTGAGGCTGCAGGGCGACAACGTCCTCGTCCTGAGCCCCCCTTACCAGGCTGGGGCCAAAACACACAGCCAGGTTGTAGGGCTGCATCATGTTCTCGTCACTGTACTGAGACACACTGAACGCAGGGAGCACAGACACACGGATTCATGCATAAACAAGAGGGGCGGTGGGGGTCATGATGAAAAAGTACAACTAGTGGAAGCTAAACTGAAATTGGCAGAGCCTTTTTTTTTTTACTTCCTTCTTAGATTTATCACATACAAATTACCATATCCATTTCTCCTAAACTATTCTGGTAGGCCTACATTGATTGAAACCATATTAAATTGTTTCATATTTATTTAGTTTTGCTTTCCTATTGTTGGAATGAATGTCCATTTTGTTTGTAGAGCTTTAATTGTTTTTTTTCAATTTTTGTGTGCTATCCATTTCTATGATCTAATAACGTAGATGACTGCGCCAAGCTGCAATACTCACTGATGAAGGAATGCAAAGAGGTATCTCATGACGACGATGACGCGCTCAGGGTAGGAAAAGATTACCATTTTGAGCTGCGCTGCCCTCTCTGCCTCGTTCCTAATTTCTACGACGGGGTGATGAAAGAAAGTTAAGCCCCTGCGGTACGCTCTCAACCACACTTGTTTCACTTTTCAACACATACACCCACACACTCACGGGCATGCTCCAGGAGTTGGCTGGTGCTGTCGATGGGGAAGAGGGGATTCTCCAGACTTCTGAAGTAGAGTTTCAGCACTCCAGCCACAGAGTCCAGTTCATATCTCCGCTCAGCCAAGGGGTCCTCTCCTGCAGGAGAAGCACACAGCACACTGCCCCACATTATTAATGCGCCACAGTGAGGGGCAACTCTATGAGAAGACAATTGGAACGTGCCAACACACACAAAAACACACAGGCCTACCTCGCTCAAATGCATCCCTCAGGTTGTTGACCTCGGTCTGAGAGCCCGGCACTCTGAATATCCCTTCATGCTGGAGACCTGAGAACAGACAGATTATTAGGTACCACTTTACAATAAGACTACCCTTAAAGGATTCATAAAGGGTTTATAATTAGGTTATGAATTAGGTTGTAAACACGTTATTAATCATTAAGAACCATTTATAAACCAGTTCTATACATCAACACAGGCTCACTATTTGGCAAGATGACTAAGCGTTATATTGGCTACTTAGCGAGAATCAACTCAGTGAACAACAGATACCAAGGATGCAGGCTGATGAAGACGAAGTAAGCCAAGTAGCCAATCTAGGCTTAGCAGTAAAGATACATGTTGGTTCAATATTTGGCAAGCAACCGGTCACAGTTTCCCTGTTTATCTCATGTCTTATAAAAGCTTATTAATGACTTATAAAGTGTTCACAACCCAATTATTAAATTAATTACAAACTATTCGTAAACCCTTTATAAGGGTAGTCTTCTTGTAAAGTGGAACCGCTTATTATAACTAAAACATCTCCTAAGTAGTAGTAGAATTATTAGATTCATTCGAGCTAGAAATGTTCACAATGGCTTTAAGCTCAAATATATTTTGTAATGCCTTCAAATGCATGTGCGTTTAAGCAGCAGACCCTTTTCCTTCAGTCTTCAATACTCACCATTGAGGTTGATATAGCAAATGCAACTTTCCACAACAATTGGAATCTGTTGTCCTGATGCCTGAATGAAACAAAGCTAGTGGTAAATTTCATGAACTTTAGATATAATACATCACTGATATGCTGGTAAATGAACCTCTGTCAGTGCTGACAGAGGAAATAATAATAAGAGGGAGTAATTATGATAGTATCTACCTGTATGAAGGACATCATGTCTCCACTGAAAAGTTTTTGGTTGTGCAACAAATTGGCACACGAGTGATTCCTTCTGACACGCATAGACTTCCCATTGGGTCTGCAGAGCCAAATACCATAATGTGAAGACACAGTAAACTCCATTTTGTTGCAATTGTGTTACATGTATGTGTTTTCTTAGTATGCAGCATTGTTCAAAGTTTGATCCATGCTCCAAAAAGCTCATATCCGTACCTAGGCTGATTTCCACTTGACAGTTCTGCTGTAGGGGGAAACATAAAAAGGAGAGGCAGAGCAAAATAATTAAAGTCTAACACTAGTACTTTGCTTGCAGGTAAAACAAAAACAGAACATCAACACAAGCGCACAATGCAACAGCTGTTATCAAAAGACTTTGGTCAGCAGTTCGCCTTTTGGCTTAGTTCTGTGTGAAATGCAGAAGTGATACCTTTGTCCACAGCCTCTTTTAGCTGGTCATGTTTTGCTTGCAGTTTAGATATCAGGGAACTGCCTGTGAGGTGCTCCTTTACTCTCTGGAAAACAGATCAGATGTGATTTCAGTGTTAATCATGCGGTCACCTTTAAACACTGTTGTTCTTGTTTTCATAGTCAGCCAAAACCCAACCATCATACCAAAAGAAATAAGTATGCATATCCTCCAGCTGCATATAATTAAAACATTCACAGCAATTATGGTATGATCCTTTGAAAGCACTCACAGTGAAGTAGATGGTTTCCATCTCCTGCATGCTGGCCCTGCGGCGGGCCACACTGGGCTTCACTGTCAGGTTCTCAGTGCTGCCCTCCTGAGACGAGGGCTCCAGATCATCGTCCCCGATATTCTCCAGCAGGGAGGACTGAGCCGCCAACATGTTCTTACTGGCCTGCGTGACAATGGCAAGTATAACAACTTCATATTATTGGGAAATACTGCCATTGATAATAGCCATGCCAATGGTAAACATTAGCATTATGGTGTGATGTTCAAAATAAATGTGAGAAATCTGACGAGGATTGCAATTATGTTGCATTCGAGGGCCTGTTTGAAAGGCATAATTTTAGATGCAAAACTAAACTAATGGAACAAATATAATGGGGATAGTCAGTCATTGACTTGAGGTTTAGTGACTCAGACTTGAAATGTGGTCACAAAGTCTTCAGGCCGGCACATTCCTGCCATGGCACGCTGGCCAACTTTTGATTGGTTGTTAGTAGATTTTAAAAAGCCACAAATAAGAGTGTATACATGTTTACAAGAAAAAAAAAGCATTTGATTTACAGCCTTGAATGAACTCTGGATGCAGGCGTGGGTTAAATAACACTTGTAGATTCAGTAGACCAAAAAAGGGCGATTGTGAGTTTCAATGGGTTGTGCGATGTACTCTACCTCCTCTGTTTCCTGGGAAACAGACTTCAGTCGGGTTTGTATCTGTTTGAATCGGGTCTCCAACTCACATCTCATCTCACCCTCTGCACTCACCTCGGACACCTGAGAGACACAGGAGAGTTTAGAGCTCATACTGAACATCTGAATGCTCTACTGAATGCCCACTGACAGAATACAGACCTGGTCTCCGTCATGGGGTTGATAGGGGAAGCGGAGCGGCAAACAGAAGGTGCTGTAGTGATCCTGCAGGAGGAGGTCTCTGTCCTGACTCTGGTCCAGTCCGGACACGGTGCCTTGAAGCTGCTGCAGACCCGAGCTCAGATTCTGCTGGGTCTGGCACCGACCGGACAGGTAGGCCTTCATCACTCGGCCTACAGAAAGGTGGTACCCTATATCTGCACACTGAGGGAGGACATCCATTTCAGTGAATATCACCTAGACCTACTTTGATTTCTCTCATCCTGGAAGCAGGAGAGAACATGTTTTTTTTCTTCAAAAGTCAAGATGACACAAGGAGTAATTACTATACCATTAGTCATCTCTGTGGGTGAAGTATTCCTTTTCAACATGGCATCTGGTCTATTATCACATCATGCATCAAACACATTTAAAGGTGGTGAAAGACAAAAGCTGACGATGCACTCACATCTATGAGAGTAGAGATGTCCTGGAGGTAGTACTTATTCATGGAGGCATTGGCTGCAGCCAAGTTTAGGAGGTAATCGTTTCGAGCTTTGCTGCACTTTAGGTTGATCTCTTTGACCTTTCCTTGTCTCTGTGGCAGATAAGCATGAATCAATTAGAGGACAAACAGACATATAGGGACATGCGTGAATGTAACGTTACATAAAAAGGTCATTCACTTTTTCTATCAACCTCTCCAGCTTTTTATTAGCACTCTGCTTCTGCTTCTCCTCCTGTTTCTCTGCCTCCTTCAGCTTTCCATCTGCGCACAAATATTCTGAGTGGTACTGGTAGTATGTCCGCCATGCCTGCACAAAGACAGTAATGCTTTCCTTTGTTTGTTTAGGAAACAGAAAATGTTTGGGGTGGTTGGTTTCTCACTTACGGTCTGTAGCTCAGTGGTGACCTTGAGTAGTCCATCTTGCAGCTGATTACAGACGTCTTTACTCTAAAGTCAGACAGAATGGCACAACAAGGAAGGAACATAGTTATTAATGTCAAGAGAAATAAAAAGGGGAAGAGTGAGAAAAACAAATGAGTAAAGTATTAAGGTATTTGCCTGTACATGTGCACACTTGTTCCAAACACTTAAGACTATGGTTTGTGTGAAGTGGGTGCCAAAGCTCATATCAGTACCTTCTTGGCAAGGCGCTGTGTGTACTCCAGGCAGTGTGTGAGGGGCTGGGTGAGGAAGCTGCTGCAGCGCTCACTCAGTGCATTGTGGTCCCTACTTTCCTGGCGGGTCTGGGACAGCAGAGCCAGCCAGACCTGGGCCACTGAGTGACTGCTGGGATCCTTCCTAATCATGTGTGAAAGAAAGAAAAAACTATCAGAGACTGAGATACAGCGAGGTGTGCCCTGCCAGTAAAGTGCGTACATTGTAAGATTGCCTTTACCTCTTGATCCTAGACGTGAACCTTTCAGTGAGTTTTTCTAGGGAGCGGGCATACTCGCTTTCAATCTCCCCCCGCCGCCGCAAGTAGTCTGACAGGTCCTGCAGCTGCTGGCTCTTCTGCTCAAGCTGCACATCTAACACCTTGAGTTGGTCCACAAGCTGACAGCGCACCTCTGACAGGAAATAAAGAAGGGGTGAGAGAACAGTTAAGTCAAAGAAAGAGAAACACATACAAGAGAGTTCTGACTCATTCTTGTTGAGAAACAGATTTCCCCCCCCCCCCCCCCGGACAGTTGATCAGTGATGGTGGGTTGTGATAAAGCTTGAGAGGTTGTTAGTATGGTGCAGATCAAAGTAGAATTTTACCTTTGATTTGAGTGTCGTAGTCTATCACACCGACCCGTTCCTTACGGAGTTTCACATGTGAAGTCATTGTTGCTCCAACTGGGTGGAATTCTGGATAAAAAGGGAATACATATTATATTATTTCAACATGAATTATGAAATATCAGCTGTTCATTTTTACCTCCCTTGCAGAGTCATAGCGTACTTCATACGGTTGCACTCTATTTTGATCTTCCTTGCTTGACAAAGACTAGTAAGAAAATAGAATCAAGGCCTGTGACCCACTGCTGCACCCAAGCATGCCTCTACAAACGATCACACTCTTAGTACTGAAACCACACACCCCTCCTTCCCTCCCTCTACAGACCATGCTAACTTCCTCCTGCCACAGAAAGAGTGAAACCAGCATGTTCATCTTACTGTAACACATCTCTTCAAACTGGTCACCCGCTGCAATGCTTTGCTGAACGGCAGGCAAATAGAAAAAGCATGTGCTGCCTGCTGCACCGGTCACGCTGCAGAACTGCATGAGGGGCAAAAATAGCTCCAGCAACATCTCTGCTGCCCTAAAAATAGTGTGAACCACAAGGCGTACAACCCTGTGGGGATGTTTGTTCTCAGTTTGGGAGTTAACTGATGGACTCGTCCTATATCCCAAATCTATATTGAAAAAAACAGCTAATTCAGCTGCTTTTCACTTATATTCTAGATTACCCTCAGACATAAGGTACATTTAAGTGTCTGACTCTTAGATCCTTAGACTGGATGAAAAAATAAAACAAGATTTTCTCAAACAAACGGTCATCTGACAGGCCTTGAAAGTATTGATGAACAACAATTTAGTTGCAGATGTCTGCAAGATGTAATTTATTACAACACCGTTTAACACAATACTGAAAGGGGAAGAGTTTCTTGCTTGATCATAATCCTTTGCACATTCTATCTTTTCACCCTTCCACTTCCCTTTTCTTTAAAGCAAACATCACTCATCAGCACTCTCTCCAGCTGAACTGTGCACTATCCACTTCTTTCCAAGGGAGACATACCAACTGACCTGCTGAAATCTGTTAGATTACAACAAACTCTAAACTCCTTACAGAAAGGAGAGTGGCTCACTTTGCCAGCCAGTCATAATTTTCCATTAGTCGTTTTCATTCTTTCTCTATGTGATCAGCAATGAATCACCACCTCTGCTGCTTTACTTTATTATAGAAATTCAACTGGTTCTTCTGGTGTTATTCTGTTTGATTCTGACAAGTAGAAACACATATCTAGGCTGAACTATAGGAGCCGTTGATGTCCTAAGGGCAATTTCTAACAAGCCTTCAAAAACAACACTGTGAACACATTTATTGGACTTTAAGTGACTAGTCTTGCTGGGGTGAGACAGGTCAGTGAATGAAAACATTGGTAAATAAGAGTCTTACCTGACGGGAGAGCAGTCTTCACTAGTCTCTTCTCCAGACTGAGGCAACTAAATGATGCCAGTTAATAGCACAGTAAGCTCTCAACTGTTTCACCTCCCCCTCGCATTGGACACGGATGGATGTGGGTGGAGAGGAACTCATCTCTCCGACTTTCTCTCTCTCTCTCTGGCTGACACACACACTCACACACACTGCTCTCTTTCACAACACACTTCTCACACATTCAGTTTGTGTGTTCAACTGAGCTAGTGTCAAAAGTGAAAACCTGTTTGAGTTCTTCAGACTTCTTCTTGAACTCTGCAGCAGGTTTCAGTCCAATCAAACACCAGCTGTTCTCACTGATTAGTCCCTCTGCTGGGGTATTCACAGACTACTCAGTGAAATCAGCTGCTATAGTGGTCGAGTGGGGGGGGGAAATTAATACTGAATGAATACTTGTTTGAGCAGAAGACTGGTGGACACAATTTACATATTTTAAGAGCACAGAGTTTATGATTTATGATTTATATATTGCCTTTTTAGTCTTTTACACTTTATGCAAACATGTACCTATTCACAGACTGATAGCATTAAATCAGCCAAAGTGCTTAACATTTGGTCTCATACTCACACGCACAAGTATGCAAGGTTTTTTTTTAACAACAGCATGCAGCGTTGGCCTCTCTCAGCTCTTGATGAAAAGTGTTAAACTGGCATGAAGGTGTGAAAATGAGTTATTTCATAGTTGTGACAAACAAATGTCTGAAAGGCCGTTTGCATAGTATGCTGTTATCTGTAATGCAATTCTGTCTAACTCCTGTTTCCTTCCTCTATCTGACAGGAGGAGAATGTGCAATCAGTGTTTAAAAAAACAAAAAAATTAACATTTTGTTTCTAGTCGTAGTTTTATCCATCGTTTGCCTATTTTACTATATTTATAAAGCTTTATTATGGAACTTTGAAACATGGGTTAACATTAAATCACCTCTACAGTGTCTGAGATGCTCACTGTTGGGTCAATTTAAAAAGGATGGTTAATGTTTAGAGGTCGCACATTCACTGCAGTCTTCAACCTGACTTGTTCAGTAGCATGTTTTTATTTATCTTAAACCCCGTATGTAGCATTATTATTTATATCAGAATATGGTACGTTTTTATTTGTAAAAAAACGTAACCACCAAGTTGAAACTAAAGCATTCTTCTGCTTTCAGCCCATCTAAGCCCACGCAATGCTTTCTGAAAGCCTTTCTTTTTTCTACTATCAATGCAAAACCTTACCCATGGATCTTGATTACTTTGTATAATATATACAACAGAAGTAATAATTTGAAGTGTAATTTCACGTTCACCACTTCACTGGCCATGTAGGTGTTACTGGTAAAAAAGGAGTTTACAATTAAGTGCCATTCAAACTAAATGTATTTAGAAAATGCAGTGGACCTATTAAATAAGTCAAGAATTCACTCTTTCCAAATTTAATTGACTGTTATCAGAGTGTATTGCAATACACTGCTTTTAACATCCTTTATGAAATAAGTGCAATGCGAAAAGTATTATTTGAAAGATTTATTGGCAGTATTTCCTTTAAATATTTAAGAGACCAGATTGAGAAAACTTGAAAAGCACAAGTTGTTGGAAATTCTCTAACTCTCAGAGAATTTTGGGCAACTTTTGTAATGACAACAGCAATCCAATTAAAACATCGACACCAGTTTTTCATTTTAGTTTCATTTAGAGAACACCCCAATTCACATCATTATCCAAGTCTTTCTGTTCATCACTGCAGTGGAAAGCAAGATTTGAGAAAAAAAACGTGATGGTTAAGGCTTTGACCCAGGGATAGTCACACAGTTTGTTAAGCCAGAGATACTGTCAAATAGAGATAAAAAGAGGAAGGGAGGCATGAATTTAAAAATGTCTAGGACTGCAGCGTCATTGTGAATCAGAAGAAGAATCTTTAACGTCTGTGCTTTCCGTCGCCTCGCTGACTTCACTCAGCTCTTTGCTCTCTCCTCCGCTGTCTTTCTCGTTCTCCTTCTCCTGGTCACCGGTACCGACCGGGCCCTGGCCTGACGGGGCCTCTGGGCCCGAAACACGCGCTCCAGGCTTTCTCAGCTGTGGGACATGTAGACCCAAAAAAAACACAATCGTCATTAGAAACTGCTCATGCAAGTTCAGGGGAGTTAATCGTTCCATGAGGTAACAAGGGGCTTGTGAAAATGATGTAAATGTTGTGCCAACATGTGTTGCCATATTGGATAAACTCAGACAGGGTAGTTACCTCATCAGCCATGTGGGCCAGGTCTCTCTTCATGGCGTAGGCATCTTCCCCATCTGCGTAGTATTTAGGCTCAATCTCACTGATCCTGTGGAGGCATAACAATATATCACATCATTTAGAACAACTATCTAAAAGTGCCGTAGCTGCTGTTAAGAATGCAGGTCCTTTGTGAGTATTTCGCAACATATATGTCATTTATTAATAAAATGGATGACAGCGTATACTGATTTGTAATGTTTAAGGTAAAATACATTATTAAATAAAAAAATGTTTCCCCAACATCATTTTATAGCGGTCATTATTTGAAATTCCTGCTTGGAACAAATATTTACAGAAAATATCATTCAAATGCTAATTTGATAAATTAAGTACAAATAATGGGAACAAATGAGACTTGTTTTGTGTTGGTTTGGTTTTAAAACTGAATATGTAAAATGTTTGAATAGGCATGAAAGCCCAACATTTAACAAAATGGAAAAAATAGATATGGAGCCCTGAACCGAACCACTTGCTCTCGCCCAGTGACATTAAAGATAAATTCTTCCATGTTTTATAGGATGAGTTTTCATTTAAAATAAACTGTAATACAACCACACAAAGTACATACATTACAATGATAGCAATTAAGTAATGTTGGACCAAATAAATACTTACTGGAATTTCAGTGTGTTTGAGTACAGATGCAGGGCTGCCCGGTTGCTGCAGTGAGAGGAAAAAAAGATTGGTAAAAACCTTGAAAACCATAGCGCTGAGCTGTCATTTTCTGAGCACATTTTTTTTAAACAGGGAACCACACAATAATGTATCCAAACAAAGTGAAACCAGGTCCACAGCAACTCAACAGTGCACAGTACCATTGTGTGTTGCATTGTCGAAAGGAGCCTGTGAATTAAGATTGTCATTACCAGAACTACACTGTAGTTATTGTGCATATGACAATAAGCCCTTTCAATCTACCTCTTGCGGACATGAAGAGAGACATATTTAGCATTGAAGTTTTCTATCATGGCCCGACTGGCCTGGTCCATCAGCTTCTGGGCCAGGCCTAGACGTCTGTGGGAACGCTTCACAGCCTAGAAGACAAAGATATGGGTTTGGTTGGTCCAAGAGAAGCAAGCCCATTTCTGAATACTATAAAACATGTAATATAAATAATGGAGGAAATTTAAGAGGTGTCTTTCTTCAAACTCACCAGAGATGTAATGTGTCCATGGGGGACATCATCAGGGTCCTCCTCCCTGTTAAGACTTCACATTAGTTTATTATGGAAAACATTATACGTGTAATTTGTGAAAATGTTGTGAACATTTAAATATGGTAACATATACTCACATCTTTGCCAGCACATATCCCACAATTTTGCCATTTTCATCCTCTGCGATGTATGAGAGCTGAAACATTTAAAAGACAGTGTAAAACATATACTAACGATTTTGAGCAGCGTTTGTGTAGCACTGGTGTTAGCAGGAACATGATAAATGGGAAACGGCAGTCAATCACCTGCGGCCAGGACAATCCATGATAGAAATAATATTTCATCTGGTAGTTTTCTGGGAGACACAGCAAGTTACAGTGCTGCATATTCATAAGGTCCTCCGGCTGAAAGAAAGAAACTGGATGTCACAAAGATGCATGACACAATGCTAACGCTTTAACCGGCCATACTTGTGCTCTTTTAACATTTAGCTTAGCTTAGCAGTGAACTCAGTAGAAACAGCATGGCTGTCGAGAGGCTTTCAGCACACTTACCCTTGCATTTCGTATGTTCATCTTGTTAGTTGGCTTGTAATCTGGACTGGAGACAGAAATAAAATATACTACACGGATCAATTAATTCATAATAATAATACTACAAAGTTGTAAAGGACTTGTCTCGCTAACTAGCTAAATCGACGAGCTAGCATGCAAGGAAAGGGAGGAAGGAGCGTGCCACAATAACGACAGTCACTTCCGGTCACAGTGTCCGCTGGGACTTCACAATAAAAGTTCGAACACTAGCGTGATGCACGAAAATAGGCTATACATCGTTTTTATTTTGAAGGATGGTTTAATATGTATAGTTACCCGGATGTGTTATTGTGGATTGTAGCAGCACTCTTTATAACCTAGAACCGACGTTTAGGCCATAGGTTTAGGCTGGATTATCATTAGGCTAAACGTTTCACTACTCTGGGGAACCCGGATCCCCTGTTTCTATATGTGACAATAATTAATTGTTTCAACCTTCAACCACGACGGTACAATATCAACAAAATGTATACATGTCTTGGGTTTCTAGTCAGTCGTAAAAAAGTTACAAACTAAAAACAACTCCTTGGATATTCACACAATTACATGTTTTGTTTGGTCTATGTATGCTGACCATTACATGTTTTCATTAACCCATACTTCCTTTTCTATAAGAAATTTCACAACAACCAAAGTCAAGTGTTAAGGCATTCATTTTGTGACTGAATTCTGACTCGTTCAGGTCTAAAAAATATACACTGTTGCCTCTATTGTTGCAGAGGCTTTTGGGGACAGCATAGTTTCTTTAGTTGAAATGTCCAAAGCTCTGACAATATTTCAAATGCTGAGGATCAGGTTTTGGTGGTGTCTCTGTGAGTGCCTATTTAAATGTATTTCCCAGGATGCCCCCTAGTGAGTTAATCTGGTCATGGTTGGAACTCAAAACTTGAAATGTAAACTACTGTCCCGTGTATGCAAATGTATGTTTACCTTTAACCTATGCTACCATAAATCTATTTCTGAATGTAATAGTTTAAATTAATGTCATATACACAAAGTTACCAACAAAATGTTGATTTATCAGGAAGTTTACAAGGAAGAGTTTAAAACAACACCCTCAAACAACACTAAACAGTGTAATGTTATTCAAGATGCTACACTCCATATTCAAAAATATGTTCAAAATCTAATATTTTTTTCGTGTATACAAAAACTGCCAGTTACCAGCAGCATT